TCCTCAAGACAAACGACCAATGTGACAGAAGTCAATAAGAATGTGATCTAAAAGCAATAAGTGCTCAGAATTGCAGCATCCTCAGAGACCGATGTGCCGCCCTAATGGTCGTAATATGCAGCTGGATGGAGGACCCTAAGGGGACCCAGTGATTTCTGTCTTTTCGCTCGGTCCCCCACTTTTTTCTTTTCTGTACACTTCACGTTTTCTTTTGCTAACTTCAGACTTGGTTAAGTTCAAGTTTTCCTTAAGGAACACTTTGGTTCCACTTTGAAATGGAACCTAAAACTTAAAACCCTTTATTATTCTTGAACACTTCCCCAGTGACCATCCAGCTCAGGAAATAATCAATCCAGCCATCAAGTATTTATGTGCATATATTAATTGTCTTCAACTTTATCTAAAATCCTATACAGGGCAAACACAAACAAAAACAGCTATTAAGACTCAAGTGGATATGTCGTAAATAATAATAAAACATTTCATTAAAAATAAGAAAAATAATATAATATGAAAAAACATGAAAAGGAAAGAGTAAACAGACAACAGAAACATATATGAACGATTAATCGATGCTTAAACAATGATGTTTCTCTGTTCTGCTCTTTAGAAAGCTTGAGTCTTTTCTGCTGACCCTAAATTTGTTGCGGAAGTGGAATGAAAGTCCCAGCCAAGATCTCAAACAGAGCACAAGGGTCATTTCTGGCTATGATTATTCTCATGATATGCGGAAGAGAAAATTGTGATACAAAAAAAAAGGAATTTTCATTAATCTAATAGAGAAAGATCTATATTTAGAATTGTGTTGTGTAGAAGTTTGTTTTTCCCATATATTGTAATGTGTCCCACTTAAGTTTACTGTTTCACTAACCTCTCCCCAAAAAAATCACTGTTCATAAAATGTTTTCATAAAATGTTCTCACAGATGACAACACAAACTAAAATGTCATTTAGTAATAAAAGTGTATAGATAAAAAATGTGAAGAATCATTTAATTAATTAATTACTTCACTTCCTAATCTGCAATTGCCTCTGAATATCACACTAACTGTACAAAAAAAAAAAAAAAAAAAAAAACTACTAACACTTCCCTTCTTAGACTTTACAGACCTGAAACTTGCCTTTAGTACTTATTCATTGTTGCTCTTAGTTGTGTAAATTGCTTCCTTGTCTTCATTTGTAAGTCGCTTTGGATAAAAGCGTCTGCTAAATGACTAAATGTAAATGTAAAATGTAAAGACACAATAAGGATCACAATGCAGCCCCTAATACAAATTAATTGACATTTTAATCCTAATTTCATAGTTTGACAGGTAGATAAAAACTGACTTTATACAATTTTACTTGAAATATAAGAACTGTGTAAAAAAAAATAATCAAATATCGATATTATACTAAAACCCAAACCTATAAATCCAGAGAAACTGAGAAATCGTCAAAAGTGGTTTATATTTACTTCCATAGCCGTTTACGGTATATGCATATAAAATGTAAGGTCTCCTAAATTACAGACATGTCCTAGCATTTAAAATAAATTCCATTTCCTTCTGATGAATATAGAAAAGCTTGTTTGCAGATTATTTTCCTTTTCATCACTCTATATAATATATCGTCATATCAAAACTTCCCTTTTTGGCATGCACAATTGCGATCATTCATCGCCAGCCAGGAAACGGTGGTGCAATTTACACCCCATGGCGGATGACTGGTAGTTTGGTAAGCTATGTATTTATGGCTGGAAAGCACCATCTTTTCTGGGGATTGATTCGGCCAGGTGGAGGCGACGGACTTTGGCGACTCAAAGGAGTGTAAATACCTGAAGACTAATGTCTCTGTTCCTGTGATCAATAAGCACCTCCTGCCTTCACTCCTGGCTGCACTTGTGTTAAAAACAAATTTGTTAATTCTGACAATTTAATTGCTTTGCCTCCGTAGTCGCATATAAATGAGCATCTGAACCTGCACGGAAAAGGGAAACAGAGCTTAGAAGTGTAACGCAACTGCATGTATTTACATTCGAATTTGCTGAATGAGGGGAATGAATGAGCTATTTAAGTAAAGCTGATGTCTGAATGTAATCTTGCAGCATGGGATTTTGACTCCTTCAAGGCACTGGTGCAGTTGTTCTTAGCTCTAGTTTTTTTAATGTTTTTTTTTTTATTATTATTATTTCTCTACAGTATTCAAAGTTTTATTACATAATATTTTTTTTATAAGTGGATGCACTGTAAAAAAAATTGCTGCCTAAATTTGAGTTGAATCAAATTAACTTTTTAAACTTATAGTTGAAGTCAGAATTGTTAGCTCCCCTTTGATTTTTTTTCCCCCCGTTTTAAATATTTTCCAAATCATGTTTAACCGAGCAAGGACATTTTCACAGTATGTCTGATAATATATTTTCTTCTGGAGAACGTCTTATTTGTTTTATTTTGGCTAGAATAAAAGTCGTTTTCATTTTTTTATAAAAAACATTTTAAAGGTTAAAATTATTAGCCCCTTTAAGCTATATTTTTTTTCGATTGTCTACAGAACAAACCATCGTTATACAATAACTTGTCTTATTGTAGAAATTGGGAGAAAATAATAAACAGGGGCGCTTATAATTCAGGAGGGCTAATAATTGTAAATGTACATCAGTCAAACTGACCAAAAATATTCAAGTAAACCTCATTAACTTACTGAAATAAGTTAAAGTAGCATAAAAACATTTCATTGTCATGCATTTGTGTCATATCGTTGTCATACAGTGTGTGCTTGATAGGATTATTAGTCATCTAGAGTCAACTCTTATACAAAAAAGTCAACTTTTCATCTAAATTTGATTAATTTAATAACACTTAACAATAGATTTAATAGAATTACAGATATACACTCGTCAAAACTTTGGGGTCAGTAGGATTTTTAAATGTATAATTTAAATCTTATTCTGCATGGCCATATCAAAACAGCTCAGAAAAGAATGAGTGTGTGTTTCAGCTGTTCATTTGGGTTATAAATAAGTTTCTCCTGCTCACCAAGGCTGCATTTATTTAATCAAAAATACAGTTCAAATTGTATAATTGCGAAACATTATTGCACTATAACATAACTATTTAAAAGTAATTTATCATTTCAATTAATCATTTATTCCAGTGATTTTAAAGATGAACTTTCAGCTTCATTACTCCAGTCATTAAAGTCACATGATCCTTCAGAAATCACTCTATTATTATTTATTATTATTACAATTATTACTATTAATATTATGGTTATTAATGGTAATATTGATAAAAGCAGTAATAACTGGAGTAACAATTTTATTTGAAACAACACACAATAGGATAAAATAAAATTGTAATAAATATTTAAAAATTGAACTTTTTGTGCATTAAATAATGCCACCTTAATGAACAGAATAATTGTCTTTAAAAAAAAAACATTAAAAAAAAAAAACAATTAAAATGACCCCAATCTTTTGAGCGGTATAGTGTAGTTATTAATGTTATATGATTTTTTTTGTTTTTGTTTATTACTCGTTATGTTATCTAGATTTTAGAAATGTGCTTCGCATTTCTGTTGTAAACACTTATTAGGCTGTTGTGTAAAAAGCACAGCTAGACATCTCTCTTTTTTGCAACTAAAGTTGTGATGTGAAATAATATACACTGTGTGTTATTTCATATTACTTAAGTATAACATTATATGTAGTTACTATATTTCACAATGCACTGGGAAGTGACTTCAGCTCGGCTTCAGACACAATAGTAAATAAACCTGAACAAATATTATTGCGCTTGAACGTGCAGAATTAACACCATTTTTCTGTCACATCCTCATGTCCACTCTGTCTGGTGTGAGCACTCGGGCATGTGGTATGTATTAGGAAGCTGGTTGTAATTTCACTGCTGCTAACTACAAATTCTCTGGGGAGAGTTAATTACAGGAAGAGCGTTCTAAATATCAGTGCACCAACATACCTTCCATGACAAGAGATTTCTTTGCTCTGCTTTTCTAATGGTTTAGGGCGCTATTTATAAAGAGTCGGCTCAGGGTTGTGCTTCAAGTGCAAATGCAAAACCCCTCAGGTGACGCATCTGGAGAAAGAGAGATCAGAGGTCACATGACTCTGCGTCCACACACTTCAGGACTGGACTCTGTGTGTAGCTCCAGTGGGCCAAAGCCCTCTTATACCCTCTGTGTTTACATAAAAGAAGGATTGCCTTTGTTTCTACTGTAGACCCCATTTTGCCCCTCACCACTTGGGAATGCAGTGCTCTGTAAATGTTTACAGATTACCATTTTTCTTAAATAATCTATGCGGAACCTCATGTACAGTTGAGATCAGACAGGGCTACTCCTGATTTTTGACAGGGTAAGTTTGGCTTTGAACAGAATATATGTCTGTTTATGACTATATTAAGAATGGTTTAATATTAGCAAGCCCTATTGTAATATTAGCAAAATATCCCTGTTATTAGATGCTGGTTATTAATATCTGTAAGCAAAAAGGCAATTAGTATATGTTAGTTTCATAAAGAAGCACGTTTATTTTTTTTTTTAATGATTAAATTACAAAGTCATTTTTGGAAACGTTTAACGTTGGAAACATTTTGGACAGCAAAATTTGCATCTTATTTTTTTTTTCATAGCCTACATTTCTGACATAAGCAAAACAACAAATCACAGAGATCAATGTTTAAACTTAAGCATGTAGTGATTTTTTTCGTTAATCATCAGATTAATGTTAAAACATTGCAAATGAAAACGTTATGGATCGGTGTTAAAATGTTAATCCAAATTAATATGCCGGGAAATGTTTTTGATGTATTTTTGTCGTGTTAGCTTCAAGACACCAGTTATTAATTTTTCTACCCTATGTAAAATATCAAATAACTATAAAATAAATTAAAAAGCGACATTTGCCTCGTGTCGTCAGCTTACCTGGGCAGAGTTAACCCGTGTAAAGTCGTGTAAAGTTTCGAGCGGTAACGCTTGAAGGAAATGTGATTTGTTTTGTGCAGCTCCAGAGGAGGACGTGCTGAAGGGCAAACAGTCCATCAGGAGTTCAGTGCTGGGGAATCAGAACTCGGAGAGTGAGCTGCTCTTGGAGGACGATGACACCCTCTCATCCTTGGAGGAAAAAGAGTTGGAAAATCTTACAGGTAAAGAACAACCGCACTACGATAAAAGAAAGCGCTCTTCACGACAGCGAAATTATAAAACGCTCATTTACCCGAGCCCGAGTTCGCTTGTACAGGCAGCTGTGCGGATCGCGGCAGGGGTGTAGTTTGTTTCGTCGCGCTCTGACGGTGTCAGTCACCCCCTCCTATCCGCCGTTAATGAGGGGATCACACCATTATCTGAAGCAGTCCTCTCTCATTAGCAGCCTGCAAGCGGGTTAACTTTGAGTGAGGGTTGAAGAGCGCTTCAAGGCCCACAGTCCTGACAGACTGATTTCAACTAGGTAAAAAAATATTTTTAAGCGACTTAGAAATAATTAATTATAACTTTATGTATATTATTTATGTAGCTAGAAAAAGTGTAATATAATTTTTTTTAAAAGTTTTAAATGAAGTGCTTAAACATGGTCATGCATTCATTCATTTGCTAAATTTTTGTCCTTAAGCGGCCAAAAAAACTGTTCACTTTGATAAAAAAAAAAAAAAAAAATTTCAAAACCACGATAACAGCCTCTATGTCTAAAATAACGACAAGGATGTAAAGTAAATTATAAACAAATAATACCGTTTTCAAGTTTTTTTAATTTGCTATTATAGCATTTTAACACTGTCTATTTAAAAGTAGTGTCATTTATGATATAGATTAATTAATTTAACCCTATCATATTATTTTAGAATTAAGCAATAATTCGTATTAAATTGTTTGTAAATTATATATTTATTTCAACCCGTTTCGACCCATTTTAACACTTGCAAATTCTTAGCATAATTTGTGCTGACTATCTGCCTTATAATAAAAGATCATTTCTTTTTCGAATAAAGTTTAAATTATCGCCTTATTTTCACCTACTTAGCATGATGTTTGATTCAGGTGTAACGGAAACGTGTTCCGGTTAAGCAGGGGGAAAACATGCCGTTTCTCAGCCGTATTACATGCTGATGAACTTATCTGATCATGCCATGCGTCCGTGTATTGAAGGGTGCTTAGGGAAATCAAAAATGGGCTTCTGGTCCTACTGACTGCAACGGCAGTTTGCAGGCGCAAATCCGATGCTTTGCGCGTGTAGTAGAGCGGCAGAAATTCCCCAGAGCGACCCTTCAACATTGTCATGCTGGCATAAATTAAGATTGATGACAGATTAAACCCAAAGCCCGCAATCAATGCGCCCTGATTGACAGCGCGTTTCAGCGCTTTTTGACATTTCGACTATACGGTTTCTATGACAGATTCAGCGCTTAAATGTGTCATTGTGAACGAGATAATCCTATTTATGGATTAGTTTAATAAATTTGCTTTTTTAAATGTCTTATTTTTTTTACTTAATTGCTGAATCGGCTATTAAATGAATTTATTTTAAGGGTCTTGCTTTGTTTGTTTACATTTTAACAAACCTTATTTTCGGTTTTAGTTGCTAAAATGTATTAAGAGTGTTGGGCAATGGTGTTACTCGCGTTAGGCCTTTATTACAGTTCTTAATTTTCACTGGTAATATTTTTATTATTTAGTTTTAATTTAAAATTGTTGATGCAGTTAATATAAGTTTAAAACAAAGCATTTGTTGCATCATATGTTTTGACTTCAGTCTTATTATCCTCAAATGAATGTACCTTTCCTTTGCAGACTTTCCCTCCCAAGCTTATTAAAACTAAAGATGTTCTATCAGGAAGTCAATATGCGCCCTTGTTGAGTTTATGTGTTCAAGTAAACACTCCATACTCCTTTGAAATGGTTTCTATGCCAAGGGCAGTAGAGGGTGGGGGAGGCAACACACACACACACACTAACCGCTGTGCTTTCCTGTGATTCACAGGGCCTGTTAACCTGAGCACCAGCGCACAGCTGGTTGCGCCTGCTGTAGTGGTAAAAGGTACACTGTCCATCACGGCCCTGGAGTTATACTTTGAGGTGGATGAAGAAGACCCAAGTTTTAAGAACATTGATCCCAAGGTAAGAGGGTTTCTCATCCAAAATACCTCCAAATGCTACATGAGCTTTGCACACTTTAAGTAGAATGACAAGCTATGGAATAAACCAAGGTCCTTTATCATCATGTAAATCTTATTGTACATGGCCACATCTTAACATAAAACCTACTCAGAAAACAATGAGTTTGTGTTTCAGCTGTTCATAACAGATTTGGGTTATGCTTGTAAAATGTTCTTTGCAATCCCGTATGCTTGTAGCTGAGGAGTGCCATCGAATGTCCTGACAATTTACCCAAATGCTTGAAGAGGAACTTTTTACATTCTTCTAAATGCTTTGTCAACTAGGACTTTTGTTTTGCTTGTGGAAGAACAAAGTAAATTTCGATATATCCTTAAATGTGAAATTCATTTTATTTATGTGCTTGAAAATAACTTGTTTTCAACACAGCTGTAAAGCTAGATTCATTATAGTTTATTATAATAATAAAAAAATATATTTTTTTTCTTTATTGAAAAAGATTTGGAAGTTTTGTCACTGACAATGTTTTACTACACAAAGAATATTTCAATAAGAAGTGTTTTAATTCTAGTCAAATGCTGTTCTTTTATATTTAAGAACAAAATGAAATTTTACACAGAGTGAAATTTAGGCCCAATCGATGGCCTATGTTTTCCAGTTGTACAAGTTAAAACTGAATTTTTTTTTTATGTGTTACTAGATTGATTTTAATCGGTGTAGTTAAGTGCTGCTAGTGTATGAGTTTAGTTATATTTTCACCAATTAAAATTTAGCAGTGTAAATGCTATTGTAACTTTTTTTTGCAAATGCTCCCATTTTGTTGTTACTGAAAATGCTTTAATCTTTATTTTGTAGCTAATGTCTATTTCTATTTTATCTATAAGCAGGCCAAACATTTTCTATGAGATAAACGACCAGTCCACAAATACGCACTGTCCTAATGTAAATCCATATGAGTTTGTATCGAAAACACATCTCCAAAATGTTAAATTATTCATGTGTCTATCTTATGTATTGAATTTCCATCAATGCCAGGAGTTGTGTTTTTGAATTAATGACAGATGTCAAGTTTAAATTTCATCGTGTCATGATTTTATTACACGTTAATATTTTGTTCACATCATGAAAAAAGAACTTGGCACGCTACATTTTGTAATTTGCAATTAAAGATCTTGTGCATGTATTTAAATAAAATTTTCACTTTGTGAAAACAGTTCGAACAAACAACAAAATCATTACACTTAGTTTAAAATGTACCTTCATTTCTCTCTCCTGAAATGTCCCATTTGAGCCTTGGCAAAAAGCAAATGCTTCAGGGTTTTTCTAAGTTTCATTTAATTTTTTTATTTTCTTGCTTTCGTTACCCGGAGAGCAGCACGATCACATTCTCTCCACTTTCAGTGTTGTGATCGCAAACGTCCGTAAATAGGCTTTTCACCATCATAAAATGTCCTCCTTTTGCATCTTACAGTTTATCCAAACTTTTAGCGTTGGTAAGGATTTCTCTTGCCAGTCTCCAGGTCTGTTTGGCCGCTGTCTCCAGAGCCGAGTGTGGTTTACCCTGAAACAGGTCTAGATTGGGTAAGAAGTAATGTGGGCACCGGCGGCACTGCAGGCAGGAGATGAGCTGCAGCAGAATACCGTTCAGTCGGTCGCCGAGGCACGACTCGTCCCAGTCAGTCTCCCGCGGGTGTTTCTCGCACTCGTATAGCAGTAGGGTCTTCATGTGGTAGTTATTAAGCGGCTGTCCCGGCAGCTCGAGGTGTCGGTCACGGAGAGTCTTTAGAACAGAGAGGCATTTCTTCCTACAGCCCGACATCAGAAGCCTGTTCTCGGCCTCGGCGAACTGCAAGACCCAGGCGTCGCTTTCTGCCGAGCTCTGCTTGCCCGTCAATGAGTAGCACTCTTTAGAGAGCAGGTTAAACCCCTCCGCTTTTACCTCCGCCACCCGGTTCGGCCCGGGCCACGGGATGTGAGGCATGGGCCACTGAGCGGCACTCCTAGGCCAGATGCCCGTGCACTTGAAGGCCGGGGTGATTTGCACGACGTATCTCTCCCGAATGCGCAGTTTCACTTCGCTCGTGTCCGCCACCATCTTAACCACGTCCCGGTAGCTGCATTTATCCACGGCCTGGGCAACCAGCGTCTGAAAGCGGGAGCGAATCTTTCGTGCCGATAGATAACCGGAGGCGGTGATGAACTCCACCCACAGGGACATGCTCCTCTTGCGGCCGTCGCTGAGCTTGAGCACCGCGCAGCCCGGCAGAGAGCCATCGTCTACAAAGTTGAACACCCCCATCTGGTTCAGGTAAAGTACGACCTCAAACTCGTTGGGTGCGATGACCTCCATGCCCTCATAGCGCGCGTCTATCTCGCTCAGGGAGCTGATGAAACGGGGCTCTTGGACCTCCACCTCCTTCAGCACATCCGACACCACCTTACACACCTCTCGTATGGTCTTGGCGATGGCCGCTTTGCGCGCCTGGCATCTTTCGTTGTAATATTTATTAAGCTGGTAAACCAGCTTTGCTTGCGTTGCAATCATGTTTGGGCACAGATCCGGACTGTAGACCGGAGTTTCGCAGTACGCCGATGGATCCAATGCTTACCGGTGAAGCCAGAGGCACAACTCCCAGGAAAAGAAAAACAAAAAAACAAAAGATCAAGTGATGATGAAGTTTGCGCCCGCAGCGGATAGACGTCAAGTTTGGACCAGGAAACGGATGGATCCAAGACAGTGCGACTTCTTCAACTCAACTTAAAAAAAGGTTTTAAGGGTTTAACTTGCTCTCCGAGCCAGTATCAGCTGCAGGATGAATCTCCGCGCATCATGTCATCATCTCTCACTTGTGTTTGCGCGTCAAAACTGTGTGCCAGTGTGCAGTTGTCCAGACTCAGCCGTGAGTGTTGGAATTGTTTAGTTTATGAATGGTCCTGTAGCTGGAGTGAAAGAGGGACGGGCGTTTGTTCATAGCCAATCAGAAGCGTAGCTGTCAGTGCAGTCGTCCAATCACAGCCACGGTGCGCTGGAGAGACTCTCTCCTCCTGAACATCCAGCGCTCGAGCCACGGCTCCTCCAGGTTAGGCTATACCGACCGCAGCAAGAGCACGTATTTCACCTTGAAGCCTTTACTTTCTTTAACTTGCATTACAATGGTTTGACATGTTGGGCTTGTTGTTTTAATTTGCGTAGCTACATTTGATTAAGGAGCATGTACAATGAAATACCATTTTAAAATCATTGCATGTCAGGTGCGATTAAATTATTTTTGCTTACATCGCCTATTATTCAGTTATTGATGTTTAAGAATTGACTGCTGAATTTTTTGTTTTTGTTAAGTAAGACAGATTGTTAAATTGAAGGACTGCGTGTGCTGGTGTTTTAACCATCCTCCGCCGTTTTACAATCAGAAAACTGGATGCTACTTCACATTGATCAGATATGCGCGCGCGCGTGCGTGTGTGTGTTATCGTGGCCGCATGGTTGTGTAGAATCTGTCATTTTGTGATGCAGATGAAAGCCTAATGATTCATACAGGTTGAATAGTAGCTAGTCTATATCTATTCTAATTCTTCAGTTATGTAATAGCAACAAATTATTAGTCTTAAAATATATATATGCAGAGTTAATATCTTTTTAATTTCGATTTACCTTTCGTAAAATCAAATAAATATTACAGACTGGAATTATTTCCCAGGCTGAAATGTCATTCGGTGTATAGTGTTGTAATTAGATGACAGTGATCTGTAAGGAATTGGGTTTAGAAACGCTCCAGTGCGGATGTATGAGCAACCTGCGCATGTTTAGATAAATATTCAGGACTTAACCCATGTATGCATTTGATGTTAATAAAATAATGAAACGTTTTAATTATAATAACGATAATAGCTACTAATTGCATAATAATACTTCTTCTTCATCTTATTATTATGATTATAATTATTATTAATATTATTATGATCATCATAATAATAAAGAATTCATTGCAATGTAATAAAATGTAAATAATTAGGACCTATTTGTCTTTTTTGTTATGCTCGTACTCGTATAAATATATTAATTGTTTACAATTTAAATTGCATTTATTTTCTTGGTTAATTTGGGTTTGTAGATTTTTATGCAAGTAATTTTGTGTGCTTTCATCACTTTTCGATGCGCGGTATTAGATTTGTTTTCATTTTTAATAGCCTTTATAAATAGCGGCTTTCCGTTCTCCGGATGTACAGTATTCGTTGCGGTAATTTTAATTCTTTTATTTTTAATTTGATCCCCAACTTTTCTTCTTTTTGTGCTTTGTGTTTTCACATGAGTTATGTGAATAAGCATCATCTCATAGGCTGCATAGCTAGTGAAGATGAATAATTTAGAGAGTGGACATTGTTTGGGGTGGTAATTGAAGTCTCTTATCAAGCTGAACTTCATGTTGTATAAGTTGAGCTCTCATCAGCTGTCGTAACGACCGGCTTACGGGGAAGCTCGCAGATACAGCGCTGCGTGGTGGAAAGACGAGTTGCGGTAAATGAGGCCATTCAAAGTATTGATCCGTCGCGAATGAGTGTGTTTTTACAGTGAGAGGAACGAACGTCAAGAGTTTGTGTTGTTAAGCCCATCTGAGAGCCCGCAGGGCTGTTTCATTTTTCGCTTGAGTAAAACAGTGTTTGTTAGTGTCACGCTGAGCGAATTCTCTGTCTTTCACGGTGTTTTCTTTAATTACACAAACATTGTTTTTGCTACGAAACCAAGTGAAGCGACGTCGCAAAATCAGACGCCTTCATGATTATGATAATTACTACATCGATGGGAATTATATATATATATATATATATATATATATATATATATATATATATATATATATATATATATATATATATATATAAGTATTAAAAATTAGGACTTATTAAAATGAAAAAAATGTGCAACAGGTTATTGCTATCGAAATCAGCAGTTATGTTATGTTTCATCTTTTCATATAGGCCTAGGACATTTTCTGTAACGACTGAAGTTAATTGAGCTGTATGGCAAATTATTTAATGGATGGTCTGCTATGAATTTGTAATCAGTGCGAAAAATATAAAAAAGAAAATTAGAATACTTGCTACAAGATCTTATTGCAAATTAAATGTTATTAAATAAGTTCAATTAGGTTTAACACTTTTACATACAGCAGTATTGTTAATGATTGTAAAAAAACATCAGAGAAATAACGAATGCTTATTAATATTATTATTATGTTTTATAGAAAAAATAAAATAGTGACCACTTGTTTTTTGTATAAGCTTATGTAATTAATTTCAAAAATACAATAGCTAATGCAGCAAAAAAATAATTTTTAATTACTCTTATTAATAGATTTATTAAGCAAAGTTTTATCAAGTTTTGTCCTTATTAAAAACAATCAAACTAAATTTATTTACATTAAATACCAGTTTTGGACAAGCAGTCTAATTCAATAAATTTTCTATGTTATTTTAAATACCAGTTTTGGCTGATTGGTACAATTTAATATATCAACGTGAAAAAAATAAATACTATTACATTTTATCAATTAACGTAATTAAAATTGTAATTAAAAAAAGTAATTTTAAGTTTATCTTTTTTTTGTGACAATTTTAGTGATTTATATTAATGAGGGAGCAATTTGGAGTCTCAAAACTGCTGACAAACTATTATAACATATTAAAACATATTATATTATAACATATTAAAAAATATTATAACATCCATCTTATTATATTGTTTTTTTATAATATCTTCATGAAATTACATTCAATAAAGGCCAATAAACAATTTCAGACCTACTCTTTTTTTGAGCATTTAATGTCCTCATTTTATTTGAAATGTTTTAATATAAAGGCAAATTACCTTTATAAACATTAGCCAAGCTTTGATCCACTGAAAGCTCAGCAAGTAGTTGCAAAGTACCAAAAAAAAGTGTTCTTAAGCCTTATGATACACTTAGCAAAAATGAATAGAACCGTTTAAGTAAGCTTCAGCACAGAAATAAACACTTTTGGGCTCTCTTCTTCCCCTTTATCTCTTTCTCTCTTTCTTTTTTTGTGAAAACATTCCGTATTATCTGGAGAGCAAAAGAGCTTTGGTCTTATTGAGCAGCCTGAACGAGAAGATGAGAGAGGCACGGTAGTGTGGAGCCACTCCTCTTTGATCTGATGACTCCACTCTGATCCTCTCTACAACGCTGGACAGTGTCTAATAAGACTCTCTCTCTCTCTTTCTCTACACCTCCGAGAGGCTAACATGATTTCCAGGTCATTTGACCTAGTTGAAAAAAACAGCCAGATAGTGTTAGCTGATCAAAGAAAAAAAAGAAAAGCCATGGTCCATGCACCTTCAGAACTAAGACAAGCTCAGAACATATATCTGTGCATATTCAAACAGGAAAAATTTTGTCCACATAGAGCAGAAATGTTCTTTTATGCTTAATAGTCCCGTCTTGTCAGTCAGTCACTCTCTGTTGGGAATTTCATGACTTTCCTGAATGCGATGGAATATTAAGTTATGATTCTTGTGTTTTTGACCATATTTATTTACTAGTTGTAGTATTTTTTTCTATTCTTAAATATGTACAATCCCTTTGTCGTAAAGCGTTAAGAGATCCTTTGTGAATAAAAACATGACTACAGCTAGTGCTTGTTTCAGAAAAGAGAAAAAGGGCAAAAAAAAAAAACGCTGCATTTTTTTCTGTCTCAGCTGAAGTTAGCATGTTTTGCTCTTTCATGTCATTGATAAGAGGGAAAGAATGTCAGTTACAGATGCTTTTAGCCTTTAGTCTTTTTCTGCCCTACAATGGAAATGTGAGAGGCAGCAGGCAAAAAAAGGCACACCGTCTTACCCACGTTTCGCACACATACACACAGCAGGCCCCAGCTGCATTTGCCCCTAGGAGACGGCCCCAAACAAGTCAACCAGTGGTACTAATTGCTTGGCAGGCCTTTCCGCATCTGCCAGTGAGATCTGGTGAGGTCATGGAGCAGATGGGTGTCTCTCTGTGTCCCTCACATTCACCGTATGCATTTGATCCTGATCGGACAATTTGCTATGTTGTGCTCATGATTCTATTTAGTATCGCCATTCTGCTCAGTAACATCTTGATATTTTCGAGGTAATCAGCACAGGGCGGGTAAATAATTTTCACATCTCATTAGTTTTTTCAAAGTAAAAATATTGATAAATTATTTTTTCTATTTGAAAATGTTTTAAATAATGCTGCATGACATTCATTTTGATAAATGACTTTATCATGTCAAGTGAAGTCTAGCTATATCATTTTGAAAGTTGCATTTTTGTAAACACGAATGGTAACACTTAAGTTTTCTCACTATTAACTAGTGCCTTTTAGGCCCACACGGAATCTGCGCACACAGAAAGCTGCAGATTTCCACAGATTTTTAGCCCATCATTCAGTCTGTTTTTATTTGTGTAAATGGGTGTAAATGTATATTTATTCAGATTTTTAATTCATTTCACTAAAGTTATTGTGATATAATAATAGTAACATTAAAATATTTATATGATTATTTACAATACAGTTTGTAAAGTCATATTAAAGTCATAAAGTCTTTTAGTAGATATATGAGAGAATTGCTTTGTTTACCAAATAAGTGGATCTAGTTGAATTTGAATTGTAAACATTAAATAAAAGCTAAAAATGTATTACTTTTTGATTTTGTATATTAAGTTTATAGTTATTATACTCCTAAAATCATTCTGCATGAATCAGCTTATTTATTTATTTATTTATTTTTTTACAAAATTCTCTGCTGTAATAGTAAAAAATTCTGTAGATTCTCACTGGCCTTACTTATAACCTGTCTAATGTTTGGTATTTTACATACCTAATATCTAAGCCCCACTACTACCT